CTCCAAACTTCGTGTGCAGTGAGGTGGTGACCGAAGTTATTTTATGAAGCCAGAGGAAGACAAATAAAAAAATTTACCGCCTTGGATAAAGGAGGTGTGTAGTGATTTTTTATTTATTTTTTATTTTTATTTTTGCAGTAGCTGCTATTGTTTTCTGTTGTACTCTGGACCCGGTCTGTCTGTAATTTTTATTTCCCTACGCAAATTTCATAAACTTCCGTAAGTGAAGTTATCTACGTTTTATCGAACATATTTTCTATTGATATTGATCACGTGTTTATTGCGAGACACGTTATCATTTTATTGCCCAGCCCTAATCCTATAAACCAACCCTAAAAATCTAAGCTTTAAACATTTTTAAGAGTGTATGATCACAGATCATTTGACTTTAGATTTTATTTTAGTTTATCAAATAAAACATATTTGAAGAAAACCAGGTCAAAACTTTAGATACAAACACCAAATMTACCACAAAGGTCAATGAAATAGGTCGAAACTCACTAAAGAAATTAAAGTTTCTAACGATGGGAGGGAACATGTCTGTAACTACAGAACAGAAGTCCAGTTGGTTTTCAAAACAATAAAATCTCAAGACTATCAAGGTTTTCTGGAGTGAAATGTGCTCCCAGTCTCAAAATGTTGATTTCATTGTCAGGTCAGGGTCCTCCAACARGATAAAGTCATAAAACACCTAAGAATGAATCAAAGCCAAACATTGTAGGTCAAAGTACCTGTGAACAAGTGGACTTTTTATATAATTGAACTAAATTCAAAAGCTGTGACAGATTTTAATAAATGATTTTCAGAAAATTCAATTTTTTTWATCAGAATTCGGGAATYTTTGTTCCCTTTTYGYTAAAGAAAGAAAATCCTAAAGACACATTTTCTGCATCTGTAGTTTAAGTCGGACTTAAAGTGAATTTAAATTATTCACTCAGTCATAGATCAGGTTAGTCTGCTTGTGAGAAATAAAAGTTGGACTGTTTTCTATAAAAATCTAATCAATCAATGTTCCTGTGATATGGTTGCAAGAGGACRTCTGTCACTATAAAGCTTCTTCAGTTAATAAAGCTGCATGTCTAATGTTGGACAATATGTCCTCATGTAGAGGATGTCCTGCTCCAAATGCCACGTCCAATCATCTGTTTGCATGTTGATTAACAGTAGGGGGCGCTCCTCTGCCTCAGAAAAAGTGATGATTCCTGCTCACTCCCTTTTCATCAAGGTTTTCTTTTCAGCTTGTTTAGATCAAATCTAGAACCACAGCAGGGTAGAAAACCAGAGGCTGTCCCCTGGACCCCAGGTGGTCCGGCTGTGTCCTACAGCTTCATCAGGAGAATCTCTGCATCTTCCAACAATCTCCAAGTTTTATTTGAAATCCTGACTTGATTTGCGTTTGTCTCCTCTGCTTCCAGCTCTGACAGAGCCTGCTGTAAGGCAGCTCGTAATTGGCCAGTCTCAAAAAGGCGTGCGTGCGTGCATGCGTGCGTGTGTGTGTCGTGTGAGTGTGTGTGTGTGTGTGTGTGAGTGTCGTGTGTGTGAGTGTGTGTGTGAGTGTTGTGTGAGTGTGTGAGTGTGTTAATTCCAGCTGGCCGCTGATTTCCTCTCATTGTTATCTTTGTCTCTACAGCAGCCAAGAGCCTGCTGAACAAAAAACCAGATGGTGTCAAAGTAAGTACACCTTCTGCTTTAGTTTTATACAGAAACCTTCTTTTTTTCTTATGTTGATTCATTCTGTTAAAACCTGCTTATCTAACTCACCTCCATCCTCTGGAGTTCTGATGCTCCTGATCCAAATGATGGCTAGAGGGATGGCAAAAATGTCTCCATGTGTTTGGAGCTGGATCTTTATCTGCTCCATGTCTGTTTGCTCTCAGTTGTCACCAGATGTGATGAAGCTGTGTGGACTGTTTCCACCCACGGGCCTGACTTTACTCTGTCTAACAGCACTGAACCTGCTTGTTTTCAATAAAAGCTGCTTTTATCCAGCAACAAAGTACAGCTTTCTGTTGACAGGAGGCTCTGAAATACCTAAGAAGTAAGCTGAAAAGGTTTTAATGTCTGAAACCAGTCATGTTTTTGTAAATGTTTGTTTCTCTAGATAAGTTGCAGTTAAATATTCTGCTGAAATAGGCGTTTCAGTGTAAAGGGCTCGACACACGGGCAGCGACAAACTACAGCGATTAACAGCTGTCATCGCAGCCAGGGTAAAACCCGACACACGGGATGCGATAGCGATCACAGTGTTGTGAATCGCGCTCTCAGGTCGCTTGTCTTCACAAAATTTGATTGGGTCTTGACTCTGAAGGGGGGTGTGCATTGCGGATGTGTAAACTAAACAAATCTTGYGATGCTAATGATATTGAAAAACAAACACATCAAGATATAATTTTATGAGGAAAAACTTACCATAAACTTCACCCTG